GAGAGAGAGAGAGAGAGAGAGAGAGAGAGAGAGAGAGAGAGAAAGGTGGCATCCGAGGATCAATGGGAGCTTCTTACGAGGAAAAGACGTTCGATCGACGAACAAATTGGTGCAGCACGACAGAATGTTCCCTAGCCGACAAACTTGGCTGCAAAAAGATATGAACGATCGGTGGCCGAGGTGCAAACCTCATTCGTATCAAGTGGTTTTGACCGCAAGCAAATTCTTCTTGTAATCTATAATATTTAGGTGCTGATCTCATAATTTATCCTTTGATTCTATTTGTGTAAACAATCTTAAGCCGTGGCCTCGGGACCGACGCGGCTTGGTTCGGGCCCGAATGACGAGGGATCTTCCAAGGAGGTTCTCCGGGACTACGGAGGTGGTCCGATTAGGATGGAATTGTCGCTTCCTCCGGGAGGGAGCTCCTCGCCGAGTCGTTCGATGGGTGGCGTCCCGTCTTCGTACTTGTACACAGGTCGGGTCGGGAGTGCTCGGCCCGACCCCTCCGACGATCAAGTTAGTGAAGAGTAGTAAGGGGTTTTTTTTCCTCGCCCTTTCCTTTGGGGCGCGAGAGTTTTTACAGTGAGAATTACCGTTACCCGGTATGCTTGCCCGCAGGGAGCAGGATCGTACTCCTGGTGGCGTCTAACATCGTCGTTGGCGTGGCGTGAGGGATCGAGCCGGAGCGGAGTATTAATGCGCCTTGGTAGACGTTCTGGCCCGTGTTGACCAGGTGTTGTCAGCCCATGGGGCGTCATCTGGGCCAGCTGACGTCATGCGAGTCTTATCATAATTATTACCCTCATCAGATTCGAATCAAAATCAAATCAAATTAGAAACGAAATCAAATTGGTATGACAGATTCACCGATTCCAAATTAAACCGAAACCAACGCTGAGCAATTTGATTCTAGTTCTTGATTTTAGAAAGTCAGAACCAATAATTCATCTTCTAAACGAAACTAAATATATAATAGACAACTTCTTATGTACATGTGAAGTGATTAAATTTTGCTCTTAAATATCGATAGCCATATTTATTTGATTAATTTTTTTAATAATTATATTTATAATTATATTAATTTTTTATATTATTATACTCAGTATAGTTATACATCTTTTTTTTTAATTTTAAAAATAAACTTATAAATATTTTTTCAACTTGAACGAAAACACTCTGTCTTTTACTACTGATGCTTAGTGCCATTTTGTCACGGAGATACACACGTACTGATGCTTAGTGCGTTAACTTAATGACCCACAAAGTTTGTTCGCGAGGGAACCTTCTGCCGTGCTGCAGGAAAAAAGCTTTCGTTGAATCGTAATCCTTAAGCAGATAGAGAGAGACCTGTTTTCCTCATAGAACCCCGTCTTCCCTCCGTTGTGTCTGGACTGCTGCATTTCTCTATCTCCCTTTCTCCGCCACCGACCGGCTATGGATCCTCGAAGCGCTGTGCCTTATCCCGGTCAGGTGGTTTGTCCGGATAGCGCCTTCGACTGGCTTCCCCTCGCCGCGTTCCTGTTCCTCACTTGCAACTCACTCAACTACGCATACCAGTCTCGCCACGACCCCCGCGCGCTGTTCTTCGTGTCGTTCGCCTACTCCAACCTGTTGATGCTCTTCTTGTGCCTCAGGCGGCTGGAGAAGCTGGCTCCCGATGACCCACCGGAGCACAGGAAGCGGACTTTGTCGGCTGTTTGGGTCCTCTTCACCGTTCTCAACCTCGCGTTCGCATGGCGGGCGCCGGAGATATTGCCGCCGCTACTGACTGTTGCCATGGCCGGATTTTACGTTCTGATCATCTACCCGCAAGCGGATGGCGATTCCGGCAGAAGCATGGTTCCATCAGCCGAACAAAATGTCTAAGCTAACAGGTCGGGCGGAGCACTATCTCCGCCGCATCCATTTATTTCCTTTCTTTTTGTTTATATGAGGATTTGTTTCTGATCGACTCCATGTATCGGATGAAGCCTTTCCTAATTGGAAGAATGGATGAGAGCTTATGTCTTGATTCAAAAAACTAAGATTATCAATCACTGCATAAATAAATGTATAAATATGATGACGACGACGACATCACCGGTAAGGATCTTTTCTCCCTCTTTAATTGATTTAACGTATTATGAAGCAATTAATTTATTTATGATTTTTGAGTGATGATGAACAAATATTAGAAGATATATCTGTTACATGATTTATGGATTTATAGTTATTATTTATTTTAAATGTGATCTATGTTGTGGGAAACAACTATGAGCCGTGGCCTCGGGGCCGACGTGGCTCGGTTCGGGTCTGGACGACGGGGATCTCCCTAGGGCGCTCCTCGAGCCCGCTGAAGCGATCGGGTGCGGTGTCCGATCGGGACGGTGTAGCCGTCTCCTCCGGGCAGGAACTCCTCGCTTACGCGTCCAGAGGGGACCTTCGGCTTCGCACCTGCACAAAGGTCGAGCCGAGGCTCTCGGCCCGACCCCTCCGACGATCAAGTTAGCGGATTTGGAGGGGGTTTCAGATGAAGAAGTGTTTTTGTGTGTCTGTCTCCCCCCCTCTTTCTAATGAACGAGAGGGTATTTATAGGGAAGCATACTGCTTCCCGAGCTGCCCGCTTGCAGGGGCAGGCTGGTAGCGTCTGACTTTGTGTTGGCGTGGCGTGAAGAATTGAGCTTTGGCATAATGTTAATGCGCCTCAGTCGGCATTCCGGTCTGCATTGACCAGGTGCTGTTGTGTGAGGCGTCATCTGACGTCAGCCGAGTCTTATCATAATTACTATCCTCATCATATTCCCCCCCGAAGGAAGTCATGCCATAAAAGGGGGGGGTCCGAGGCATGGCTTCGACTTTGAGAAACTGTCCCAACCGGGCGCCTTGCCGGAGGTATGAGAATCGTGGAGTTTAGCAACTAAGAAGGGTCGGATGTGCAGTGGTGACCCAGGTAGCGTGCAGTCGACGAGCACACTTAGTAGGGCAGGCTGACGCATGGTATGACCTCGGTGAGCATGGAGCCGAGGAGGACGACGCAGGCGAGCTGGCCGCGCGCATGGGGCCGAGGAGCCAAAGAGCCGAGGTAGGCGGGCTGGCCACGCGCATGGGGCCGAGGAGCCGAGGCAGGCGGGCTGGCCGCACGCATGGGGCCGAGGAGCCGAGGCAGGCGGGCTGGCCACGCGCATGGGCCCGAGGAGCCGAAGAGCCGAGGTAGGCCGGCTGGCCACGCGCATGGGGCCGAGGTGCCAAGGAGGCGTGGAGCTAAGGAGCCGAGGAAGGCGGGGAACTGAGGAGCCGAGGAGCTGAGGAGCCGAGGAGCCGTGGAGGCGTGGAGCTGAGGAGCCGAGGAGCCGAAGAGCCGAGGTAGGCGGGCTGGCCGCGCGCATGGGGCCGAGGAGCCGAGGAGCATGACGCAGGCGGGCTGGCCGCGCAGGTGTGTCTCAGGAAGCATGGGGCCGAGGAGTACGACGCAAGCGGGCTGGCCGCGCAGGTGTCTCGGGACGCATGGAGCCGAGGAGCACGACGCAGGCGAGCAGTCACCCGACATTCCGGGTCCTTCCTCTAGCGCCAATCTGTTGTGGGAAACAACTTTTAGCTGTGGCCTCGGGGCCGACGCGGCTCGGTTCGGGTCCGGACGACGGGGATCTCCCTAGGGCGCTCCTCGAGCCCGCTGAGGCGGTCGGGTGCGGTGTCCGATCGGGACGGTGTAGCCGTCTCCTCCGGGCAGGAACTCATCGCCTACGCATCCAGAGGGGACCTTCGGCTTCGTACATGCACAAAGGTCGAGCCGAGGCTCTCGGCCCGACCCCTCTGACGATCAAGTTAGCGGATGTGGAGGGGGTTTCAAATGAAGAAGTGTTTTTGTGTGTCTGTCTCCCCCCCCTCTTTCTAATGAACGAGAGGGTATTTATAGGGAAGCATACTGCTTCCTGAGCTGCCCGCTTGCAAGGGGTAGGCTGGTAGCGTCTGACTTTGTGTTGGCGTGACGTGAAGAATTGAGCTTTGCCAGGATGTTAATGCGCCTCGGTCGGCGTTTCGGTCTGCATTGACCAGGTGCTGTTGCATGAGGCGTCATCTGACATCAGCCGAGTCTTATCATAATTACTATCCTCATCAATCTATATATTTTTTTGTCTTTCGCTTTTTGTTTTTAACATAATGGGCTCAACTTGTAACCATTCGTTCATCGTTCATTATCATTAATTTTTTTTATTTATTATAATTATAATCATTATTATTAATTTTTTTATTTATTATTATTAATAATTTTTCATCATAGTCCAAATGTTATAAACTTGAATTAATTCGAAGTTAACGGTAATAAATGTTTTTGATGGGAGAACACCTATATAAATAAGGGTTTTGGTCCTTGGGCTCTATATCTCTTTCAAGTATTAAAGATTTCCTACATCATCTAAAGGAAGAGTTCTGAGCCGAGAAGTACCAAAATACCAAGAGAAATCATTGCTGAAATTCTCGACAATAATAGCTGGAGGTACATAATTTTATTTTTGCATTAGTTTCCTTGTACTTTTGGTGGTTTAGAAATTTATTTTAATATTAAATTTTCTAATAGTTGGTATAAGAATAAATTAACCTGAAAAAGTTTTCATTTTATACCATGAATATGACTTGATTTTAATTTCTCTTTGAAAACTTTTTGATACATTTGGTATTGAAAATCATGATGATATAAGATTTTTAGTATTTTTAGTGAAATAAAATGTTCATTATCGGTAAAATGCTCATATATGAATATTTGGTTATATTAATTCATGCTTATGAGTCAATTTTATATATTCAACATGTCTAGTGATTCGTATAATCTTAATTAATTATGAATTAGTCATAATATTCTTAATTAATTAAAATTATTATAAAGTTAAAATAAGGATCACATAAAGAATTAGACATAATATTATAATTGATTATATTTAATATAATAATTATTATCCCATAAGATCTTTTATTATATTCATATAATTAATCATGATAAAATATCATATTATCTTCATAATTTACTCCAACGATCTTGATTTGAAATATAATTTGATTGTTTTATCATAAAGACCATTTAAATATATTTGAATTAAAAATTTAGCCCACAAGTAATTTTTTATGTCATGAGATTTTTTTTTTTTGGCATATTTCACGTTAGTAAAACATGTAATTTAGATTATTAAACCTCAAATTTTGACATAAATATATTTGATTTAATGTAATTTTTTTAAATTATTAATTTCTTTGATATTTAATATAATATTTTCGAACATAAATATGATAATTATAAGATATAGAAGGAGAGGATTTACCTCTATTTAGGGTGGATGAATATTGATTATGCTATCAGGAAGAATAAACTATCTACAATCACTAATACAAGCTGAGATCGTGCTATATGAGCGATGAGAGTGATCCAATCAACTCAGCATAATATTTAGCGAAGACTAAGATAACTATTGATATACGTGGTTCTGTTGACCAGCATAAAAAAGGTCCCAGACTTTTTATAAGTTATCGATGAGCAATTTGTCACTTCGAAAGAGGTAAATATCAAGTACCTTAATAATGAAATTCTCCCCATAGACTCATCGGTGTGCATGAGCATACTAACTTGAAATACTACAACTTAACTTAAGAAACTCGAGTTTGATACGTCAAGAATCCTGCTTCTGCCGGAATCGCAATCCGCATGCGGGTAGATGATCAGAACGTAACGTCCGGCCATGGCAACAGCCAGTAGCGACGGCACTATCTCCGCCACCAGCCATGCGAACGCGTGGTCGAGAGCGGTGGCGAGGACCCATACGGCCGCCAAAGCCCGCTTCTTGTTCTTTGGTGGGTCATCGGGAGCCCTTCGAGGATCAATAGCCGGTCGGTGGCGGAGAAAGGGAGAGAGAGAGATGTTAAATCACCTCCACAACAGATACGGACCACTCGCATCGCGTTGTCTTCGCTTTACTTACACGGTTGTCTTCGGTAGACAGACTCGTGTCCCGGTAGATGAACATCGTATAGACCCCGGCATGAGGGCGACGACCAGTGCCGGCGACGCGAGGGCCCAAGTCGTGGCCGAGAGCCGCTCCTGGTGCTCCGGTGGGCTCGCAGCAAAAGAAGAGTCTTAACAGGTCGGAGCCGGTGGCAAACGCCTCGAAGTTGGGCGTCGTGGCGTGACGACGAGGAACACGAAGGTGATGGCGGGAAGCCAGTGGAAGATGATAAGGTGCAGCGAGTGCTAAAATTATTCTTGCAATCGCAGCCATTTCTACCCCAAAATATTTGGTAGAAATGTCAGTCACAAACATCAACAAACGAGTTGGATCCAAAGCAATCGGGTAAACAGATACATGGCTTCATCGTTACATGCAGACGTTGGTGTGACTCACTTTACCGATCCCTGCGCAAGCGCCGTTGCACCAGTGAATGCAACGACACACGTAACGCATCTACGCTCACCCATGCATGGGTATGGGTGTCGTTGGATGCTCTGCTACGACGATGCTTGCATAGGGATAGGTCCACCTTCGAGGAAAAAGAGGCACATTAATGGCTGCATATAATGAAGAAAGATAGCTGTTTAGCAAATACGCTATCGTAACATCATGGAATATTATATCTTGTACATACCGACTGACACGCCTCACATCTCAATTAATCGTCAGGCCGCTATGTGTCACCTCAGTGGCAGAGATGATGCACGCATTCGAGCTGGTAAGGAGGAGAGAAGATGATGCTATTCTTGTGAGTGCATCTCAGTGGCAGAGTGGATTTTTACTTGCAACTTTCTTTTTCCTTTTGTAAATGCACTCCATAATAGAAAGAGAGATTTAGTGACAAAATGGACCCTATTGCTGACTACTTTTTAATGTAAAACTTGGGAATGTAAACACAGATATAAATATAGATTTGGTCCTCAATGCACTGCAACATCACGTAGGCCATTCCACGACACAGTATGTATTAACCTCCCAT